GGTATTAGTAACAGAAGTGTTTGACCATAAGCTTGAACAATAGTACATTTTACTGAAAAATAAACTCTTAATTAAGGTTAGAAGTAAGTCTTTGTAGAAAGCATGTTTGGCGCGATTTATTTGGGTAAGTTGACAAACAGGATGACACGGTCTTAACAGTATGATCACCGAAAGTAAGCTGATCATCAAAAATCACACCCAGGTCCCTAGCACAACGGGTTGGGACTCTTCCTACAGAACTTTGGTATGGTTATAGAGTTATCGAAGTTGCGCGGCTTGTAATGGGCATTAACTACAAAAATGAAATAGTAACAGTTGTTTCCTACAAAAGAAGATATTCTCATCGAGCATGTTTTGGATGCGCTCCGGATGTCATGAATCGATCGGTGAATATCTGTAATTTTTATCTATTCGATCTTTCAACTTGCGTAAACAGAATTATGTTGTCGTCCACCTTCTGTTTCTTACCTCCTTGCTATCGCCACCTATCACGTTTTGGATACGTAATTCTTTCATATATGGAAGATATCTGCAATCCTTGTCAGCTCAGTAGTCTGCGGGTGAGAAATTGATGGCGAAACTCAACGCGGTTGTACGCAATCCAGTGCTTAGTCTAGTGAGTCCACAAGCGTACCATCTAAAATATCCGTGGATTCGGGTCTCTAGGGTAATGGGTCCTGTGCCGTTTACATGGCCGTTACAGATGTGGTTCAAATATATTGCCTCTAGAATCTTTCGCTAGTGGTCAGTCTTCAAAACAAATCAGCTCCGAATAAAGCTTAATGGTTCATTACTGGTTTGGAAGGGTTTTTTTTCTGCCAGAAAGCCTCAAAATATATTTATGTAATTGGAAAGAAAAATTGCTAAACGGCATTTTTGTCCACTTTGGCGCCTCATAGAAAAGTGTATGATTTACATATTACGAAAAGTGTTATAGAATCGGAAGAGTTACATATCCTAGAGTCTTCAAAGAGCTCGTTTCGCAAATTACAGATTTACACATCTGTAATTTGCGAAACGGCGCACTTCTGACCTTTTGGCTCAAACTCTTTATTTACAAATCATCACTGCATCGAGTTGTATCTACTAATAGTGTTTAAGAATCGGAAGAAATAAGTTATATATCGCTAGAGTCTTCGAAGAGCTCGTTTCGCAAAATACAGTAAGCCGTTTAAAGATATTCTCGTATTTCGAATAAAACGTGACCTGTCATTTCACAATAATAATGGCTAACAGGGAATAACCTTGCCATATTTGGAAAGAACTGAGGTGGTTGTAGATTATTTTGGGGTTGTTGTAGTTCGTTGTAGTTCGTTGTAGGTAGTTGTAGGTTGTTGTAGGTCGTTGTAGGTCGTTGTAGGTAGTTCCATGTTTTAGTGGCTACGACGCGGTTGTACGCAATCCCATGCTCAGTTTAGTGAGTCATTAAAAAATATCATGAAATAAGTTGTCCCTTTTTTTATGTAGAGAGATGTCTTTATTTAGTATGTTTCCATACTTTATTTTGCACACACTGAGTGAACTTCTTCGTGTTAGATAACGACAGGGAGTTGTCAGGCTTTCTTCAACGTTACCCGTGTGATTTCATGCGGCTTCCCTCGCGAAAGTAGTTGAATGACAAGATATGGTTAACAAACTGAATTGTTCACCCCAACAGAGCCAAAGAACCAGAAATAGCCACCTGTTTCATTTCTTAATGGTGCAGAATATTTTTTTTAATATTTGAACTTCTTATTAAATTGTGCAGCTGTTACCAGTAACCGATAATTAATTGTTTTACTATAAGCACCGACTGATATGTAGATCCATTTACATCTCGCAGCACCAAACGTAGCGATGACAAAGTTTAAGAGCAATGTTGTTTGCAACTGCTAAAATACATCGAAATTAAAATCTCTCACTCAAAACTATAATTTTTTTTTTCATGTATAAGTTAGATATGAAAGTTTTACTGAAAAAAAAGAAACATGTCCTCGAGGAATTCAAACAAAATGGTGAAAGGGCTGGCGAGTGTTTTTATTGTCAATAACTTATTAGTATTGAGAGGGCATTTCGATCTCACAACTTAATCATTGTTATAGAGCCAGGATTGTTTACAATTTAAATCTAGCTCTGCAAACTTAAAGCCTGAATACTGGCTCCTGGCATTTGGAAATGTGTTGCGTAGAGCTTTCACGACGCACGCTGGAATCACTCTCCTATTTTTCTGCCACGAGACGCCGTACCCTGCGAGCAGAGACTGTCAGGCGCCACGTTCTCTAAAAGAAAGGTAAACACGCATGAATAAAGAGGAAAGAAACGAAAACCGCGATGGTTAAACGAAGGTACAAGTGGTTACTACAAAGCGTTGGTAAATAAAATAGGGAGGAAAGACTTTTGTAAAAGATAATAATTGAAACTGATCCGTTGTCGATGTGGTCCGGGATAGGATTACATCGTGCGTTGTGAATACTGATAAGTGCCGTACGCAACACATAAGTATCTCACCCCTTTCAACCCAAGGCGCTACAAATTGTTATTTTATCTATAATTAAAAACAGCAACTTGAAAAACTTTCGAGAAGTTTCTCATAGCGGTATAAGTGACCTATAACGGAGCTTTCCTGC